AGACAGACAGACAGACAGACACAAAGGCAGGTAAAAGGTACGGTGAGTACTGTGAAGGAGTCGAATATGACCTGCAGTGGGGTGATGGTTGTTTAAAATGAGAAGTCAACTGCCAGTTAATAGACTTTTTAGCCGTATGAGTATACGTTGCCCAGGGTGCACCACGTGGAGGTAAGTCTATCGCACACCCCACAAAGCTCAAAGTAATCGATTATATTGCTTTGTTTTGGGATGAGCAGCTCCACCAGGTGGTGGTTAAACCACCCACCCGCCTTCTCAATGTGGGTGGGAGCGGGTGGGGGGTGGGGTGGGGTGGGGTGTGGGGGGTGTTTGGGGGGAGACGACTACTACCCAAGCGAGATGATAGTTAAAATGGAAAGATGAATTTAAGTCGTCATAATAATATGATCATTGTTGAGTCAGTAGAAAGTCTCGGAGTGGGCTAATTTTGGTTTTAATTCCCGAGCTGACCAGACATGAGTTAAAAGGAGCGCAGAGTTGTATAACGAGTCCCCGCTATCAATTTCCTTCTACTTTCATAATGAATACCCTTTCGCTACTAATTTGTTTCGTTTCCATTTATTCTCCAAGGGAGCGATACAATTTTAATACATTCCTTCGCAATCAGAACATTTTGATTTCCTTTCTGCAATAACTATGTCTGCTTTTGTGATGGAAAATCTGCTAGTTTAGCAGATTAACTAAGTTTGATTAAAGATATATTTATTTATTTATTTCAAATGGCAGGCGTTTCGATAGCTAACATTAGCCATTTAGCTGACTTCGGGCTTCACAGAGGGAAGGTTCATCAAAGTAGCAGAAAGTCGAGGGGTGGGGAGCAGAAGAGCGATTCACAGATGTAAAAGAGGCAGACAGACACAAAGGTATGGAAAAGGGCAAGATGAGTGCTGTGGAAGGGGTCGGATATGACAAGTAGTCGGGTCATACATACAGTGGGGTTGATTGTAGTTTGAAGTGAGATGTCAACTGCCGGTTTATAGACTTTTTTGCCGTATGAGTATGGAGGTAAGTCTATCGCACACCCCAGTTTGATTAAAGATTAAGTGTACTAAAAGGTAATTAGTAGTACCATTAAAGTGTTCTGCATCGAAGTAAACTGTCAGTAAATTTGTGCCTAGGTTAAGCAGAATCTATTTCCGTATATTAGAGAGACGCAGTTAAGTTCAAAACAATGAAATAGTACACTTTCTAAAATATACCAATTTTCAGTCACGTGAAACATTTCTGTTATTCTGTTAAATTTACGGGAATTGTGCTATAGAGTAGAAAGTAATTATTCCACCACTTATATTGTCTAGAAGCTATGGTAAATGTTAACTCCAGAAACTGTCCGGTAACCATACTTATTGGTTTCTGTGCCAACCATCCACATGAGTAGTGGTCGAAAGACATGAGTAATAATATTTGAGACACGGAGTGTGCGATAGACTTGCCTCCACGTGGTGCACCCTGGGCAACGTATACTCATACGGCAAAAAAGTCTATTAACTGGCAGTTGACTTCTGACTTCAAACTACCAAGACCCCACTGTATGTCAGATTCGAATACTTCCATAGTACTCACCTTTTTTCTACATTTGTGTCTGTCTGTCTCTTTTACGTTTGTGAATTATTATTCTGTCCCCCCTCTCGACTTTTTGCCACTTTGATGCTGTCCCCCCTCTCGACTTTTTGCCACTTTGGTGTTCCTCCTTTGTCTGTCTCCTTTACATCTGTGAATCATTATTCTGTTTTGTGTCTGTCTCTAACATCTGCAAATCATTAATCCCTCCACTGTCTCTGCTCTCGACTTTTTGCCACTTTGGTGTTCCTCTTCCTTTCTCTGAAGCCTGAAGTCAACTAAAGGGCTAATGATAAATATCAGGACTTTTTACCACTTGGATGTTTATCTTCCTTTCTGTGAACTTTTTGCCACTTTGGTGTTCCTCTTCCTTTCTGTGAAGCACGAAGTCAACTAAAGGGCTAATGATACCTATCATAACGCCTGCCATTTGAAATCAATCATATCTGAGACACCCTGTTGACGTAATAATTCTGTATCATATTCAGAAGAAACACTGATAGGAGAGTCTTATAATGCTCATTTACCTGCTGGGTACCACTACTCATTCATTGGAGGAGGAATAATTGCATCTATGGTTGGTATTGTGACTGTTACCCATAGCCAGGTGTGAGATATTAAATACAATTATCGATAATCCAGTGCAGTAGGGAAAAAGATGCTTACAATAACAAAGAAGCTTAAAATAATAAAGAAAGTCAATATACACACGCATATATCTATTATATAAATGAATTAATGTAGTTGGTAGCTCAATTTCACTTTAATGTGCGTATTTAAACTCCTTCCTCAAACCATCTTAATTATAACCTATCTGATGCCAAACTTTGCTCGCCTCTTATACTGCGCACGCACGATAATATCTTTCCATATGTGTAAACTTCCCATGGTACATAGACCAAATGTATCGGCATTCAAAAATATGAGCATCAACCAAACCTGTGATTTGTTTCTGATTGGAGGCAACAAAGCGTAGCTTAGCTGATCTGAGGGGTTTGTGCCTAAAGACTACCTTTTATCAATTTGAGGATATAGCCATGGTAATTTGCATATGCTACTTGTAATTCATTGACTTTCATTTCCATTCCAAAAAGATCATGAATTTCATTAATAGATGTCTGGTTACCAGGCTAGCATTGATTCGTCACTTCCTTATCAACTTCCTCTATGGGGTCTGAGTAATTACGTCATACTTTATATCATTGATTAGGCACGTTTCAAAGTCGTGACAGATTCTTACATATTGACTCAGATCTTCACAACCTTTCCTCCTGAGGAGTTATATAGAAGCTCAACTCACAGACAAAAGACACTAGACAGACAACTCATAAAATGAAGTATCATACCATTGTTCCTACCTCTAAGTTCGATCTGTCCCGAAATTATATTTATCTAACACTAAATGGTTTACTGATTGGCTTGTTCGTTTTGCAAGAGTCATTAACAAACACAATGTGAAGTTATAGTTGAAAATCGATTTTAATTTATGCAGTCCATCAAATAGATCGCACAGTTTTATCGGATTTCGTTATATAGCCTGTGGCCGTGTTCTTTGTAGGACTATTTTTAACGGTGCTTATATCGATCTGAAATTGCACACCTGTTACAAGTCACCTCCAGAAATAACTTCCTAGAACTGCATGGTGTGCCGGAATGTTTAAGTTCCTTCGAAATTTACTAGTCTGAACGTCTTATATGGCAGTAATTTTCAATCATCCACTGCGACTTCCAACTCCTGACATTTCAATATTTAGGACATTCACTTAAGTTTACAAGTAACCTTTGAAAGAGTTGATTTAAAAAATAAAGAGATTGCCTTCATTCTACTTCACCACTGAACCACCTCAAAAGAATCATTTTAGAAGGATTGGAAACTGCCCGATTTGAAGTATCCATAATTGTCTGAAATATCGATTTTCAGTTTGCGAGGAATTGAAAATAATATTCAAGGCAAACTTTCAGACTTGATTAACTCACTGTGCTTAAACCTTCTCGTATGCACATAGTAAGGCTGAAACCTTCGAAGTCACCATTTTTTGTCGTATACTGAAGTTAACTTTGCTAACCTTGGGATAAAAGTCAATAGGTATTGGGGCATTGTAATTTCACCACAATAATGAGTACAGATCAGTAAGGAGTACGGAATTTTTGCAAACATCGGAACATTGCAATTAACTATTTACTCAATCTCCACTCACATGCACATTTATTTGCGCATGATGATGATGACGATGTGTGCGTATATATATATGTATATATTTACATTCCTAAGACTTTCAATCCACACGTCGAATTCGGTGTCAAATAACCGCTTGGTCGGCTACCCTCCAATCGTACCCTTTGGAAGCATAATAGTGATCAATAAAACATGCTTTACTAAGCTAATCATAATTAATGTTTGTTTATCCACTTATTTAAGTATTTTCTTTTGTATTAAAAGTTTTAAATCACAAATTATAACGCAAATGCACTTCACGAATTTCCATTTGATGTAGAACTTAACGTTTCCTCCCATTGCGTTTAAGAATTTTAATTTCAAAATTTATGTGTATTTTTCAAATTTTTTCACATTTCATTCAGGTTTCTTTGATAAAACGGTGCTTTCAAGTACGAGAAATAGATATACCATCTTCTCGAGCACATTTTCAATGAAATAAATTTGAATAATGGAGGATCACACAGGACGCTATGTGATTGGACTAGAAAAAGTAGAACAAATTCCTGAAAATGGAGGTCACTCGATCACAATTCGTCTGATCTTTTATTTGGAAATACCGGATGTAGGGAATCCGCAAAATGAGAAGTGGAAAGTTCGCTTTTGCTGTAATCTCCACGAAAATCCGGAAGCTATTGACTTAGTAAGTTGGCATTGGTCCTATGCCGTTTCCCCTTCTTTAGGAAACCATTTCTTGCGGCAGCTCATTGGCTACTGATTAATATTAATAAAGTGAAGTGTAATTCATTTTAGAGACAAAGTGGAATTGAGGAGATAAATGATGAAGTAAACTCTGCAATTCGCAATGCTGTAACAAAGATTTTGCTTGCTATGAAAGGAGATTTAAACTCAATTGTTGTTGGACATGACTACACCTTCTATCCGGAAATGTCGCTTGAGCTAATCAAGGCCTCTTTTAGATCAGATCAATCCGAAATGACCCAGAGGAATAGATTTATCACGGGCCCTAGATTCCGGACGGCTTCCGTGGGTACTGAAGCTAGTGTCGAAAGAGCAAAGGAACCCCAACCCGAACAAGTGTCCTTTATCACACTGAAAGCCCCATTTCATGTTCATCCGATACTGGGGCAAATTAATCATGTGCTAAGTAAACCTGGAGAGGCTGTCCCCTTTCTTGTGCTCCCCGGTAACGTCGAGCGTCCAATCATTGAACTCCCGCAGTCAATCTCTGACGTTGTCCTTCAAAATATTGATAATATCGTCGGTTCCCTTCGAAATACGAATTACGCCCAACCCCATGAAATACATTACTACAGTCTACCTTCTAAATCCGTTCGTACAAGCACACCAGAAGTTTCAGGGATAGTATATCATTCTTCGGCTCCCAATACAGTGAATCGACAATCTGGTTCTAATCTAATTGGCAATAAATCTCAGGCATATTCGTCCGGAACAGATTCAACTGGTTCACTATCACTGACTTCACGAGATTTTACTGCTATTGACTATTCATCTGATCCTATCCATTTGACGCCGGTTACGCCTTTTAACAAGAATCTTCAAGACACCCAAAGTGGATTTATTCAAGTAAGGTTATCAGAATTTTGATTTTGTTATGATTCCAACTAGCATAGAGATACTGAATTAGACTTCAATGAGCATGGAAGAATTCCTCCAGTACAAAGTACATCAATACCATTCTCTCCTTTCCCCATGTCCCCAACAGTACGAAGGGGAATTTCAAATATTCCAAGATCATTCAGTCCTTCATCTCAGTCACAGCTTGAGAATATGCAGCATTTTCGGTTCAGCTCGATGAAACCTCCAATCTATGCTAGAAGTAAAACAATGTCTCCTTGTAGGCATAACTGCGTCACATTCTCTGATCAAATTCAAACTCATCCTATTCCACAAGCATATAATGCGATGGTTAGCGCAGAATTTTAACTATACATATTACTTACATAACTGTAGTTTGAGCCGAGTAAGCTAAATAAAGCTACCAATATTTCAACTGGTTATCTACCGCGTCAGGCACGCGCATCTTCAACTCATTTTGATTTCAATAACAAGGGAGTAAATCCTGGCATGAACTTCGAGACACCACTAATACACTACCCTGTAAGCTTGCTTTCAAAGTTCGCCTGAATTTCTATTCAAAATCGTATTGAATCAGCTACCTTTACTGACAGATGGCCTCTGATCCAACGCCATCGGCCATTGTCAAACCTGATATCTCAATGATGACTTCCCCAAGTCTACAAATGATTGAATCGCCAACCAGTTACTCTGTACTAACGAGTCCTCAGCAGACCCCAAAGAAATGCATTAGTTGCCCATCGATTCCATCAGATGTTCAAGTATCACCAATGCAATATCAGTCACCCTATTTGGCTTCCCATATTGGCCCGGTCACATCAAATTTTGTAAAGGTAAGCAAGCATCTTGGCTTTGCTAAGCAGTAAGGTATCTGTCTTGGGCAAAACGGATCAAAGGAAGTCCAAAAGTTCTTGCTTTATCTCAATCCTGAGTTTATCAGTATTTCTGAGCGTAATAACATATCACACTCATCAGGGGGCTATATAATTTTGCTATGATCTTATTTCCATATACGCCAAATAATAGCCACCTAAATTTAGCAAGAGTTTAAAAGTCTGTGGACGTTGGACTGAGGGTAATTTATTTTACTTGACCTTAGGAAGAGTAAATGAAACAGAGAGGTCGGCCCAATTAGGTTAGAGTTGATACTTGGTTATTCCCAGTCTTACATTTTATTTAAATTCCAAACGGGAAATGTCCAATTTTTGTTTAATCCCAATGTAAAATTTCTATTTAACTGTATAAGAAGCGTAGTCTAAGTGTGGCTAAATTTATGAAAATCTCACAGGAACGATAAGAAATAATGAAATGGCAGAAATAAATGAGGGTTCGAAGATAATCAAGGTTTCAAGACAGTGAAAAAACGACTATCCTGTAAGTGGAACGCAGAAGGTGATTGTTGTCGAGTATCTATCAGGCTCTCATTGATGCTCTGCAAGGCCAAGTTGGTGTGCGTGCTGGCAAGTGCTTTCATATTATCCCCTACGATTGTTTGGTTAAACTGCTTACAATTTCCTAATAGGAGTAAGCATGTTGGCTCGCAGTCGACTTATAACACTCGCAATGTGCACATTAAGACATTTCACAGCTTTCGTTGGCTGCCTGGTGTAAAATTTTTGCCTCAAGTACCTGTCCAAAAGCTAATTTTTCAGTTCTTTAAATTTGGAGAATGCATTCTACATCATACCGAATTAAAATAGCTGAACAATGAAAGAATTTGCATGACTGTATTCATAGTAATTTTGTTATAACCTGATTAGAGAATTTTAATGCATTTAGGGATGGCTTTACACCTAGACAATGCAGAGGAAGACAGATTTTAATGAATATATCCATTTTTAGAGTGATTAACAACAAATAATTAATCTTGTGTTACTTTATCAAAAATATTATTCATTTTATCTTAGACCTCCGGGCAAGATTTTCTTCTTCACACGTTTAAGCATTAGATCCTCCTTGAATCTTTATCGAAGTCGTCCATAATATTTGGACCTATGATCAGGCTGATGATTCCACGGAGTCTATGGAGGATTGAAATTTCAAGGCAAAACGGGGCCACTTTTCTGTTGGGCCCATTTTCGATCAGAAAGAAACGTTTGCGTATCTAAAGTAGATAAAATCACGATAGTGCGTCAAGATTAGAACACCAACATAAGGCGTCATCATGTAATCAACGTTCAAAGGATTAAGAATCTCCTCCACTGTCTGATTATGATGACAGATGAGCATTGTTTTTTGTTCGAGCGTGGTAACACTGAGCAAAACGTTTTGTGAAATGGGTAATGGTGAAATCTTCATTATTTCTGGCGGCGCTAATAGTTCAACAACATTTCTTATGTCATTCTAGAAGACATATTTGATTTGTCTCCTCATCAGGTAGCCAAGGTAACGGAACTGTTTGTTGTTTGGTTTGGGTAGGCTTAGAGAAAACATGAGCTGAAAGGACTTTAGGCGAAGGGGAGGCTCCATAAAGTACATAAGAATCGTTAATTTTACACTATCTCCATGCCATCGTTAGCTGTATCAATAGGATTTGCAGTAGAAAGATGGATAGGAGCTAATTGTAAAACAGGACAATGCGGATAATTTTTCGCTGAAGAATGGGAAATGGAAGTAGTAGATGTGCAAGGAACATCATGGGGAAGATTTTGGTCTCAAATTTAGCCGAAAGAACCTTTATTACTTCGGATAGGCAAGTATTTGTAGAGAAACCGAAGACCTTGATTTCGGCACTGTAAAACCGTTTAAAGGCGGTAATTAAAACGAAGTCACCAATTTTTATAACCTACGTAGTATCCGTAGGAGGCATAATTCTCAGGTTTCACCAGGAAATATGCAGATAAACAACTCTACAATTGAAAATATTTTTACAAAATTGTTAATTCTAAGATTGATTGAGCATAATTCGAGCAATTGGTTTCCATTTTATTAAAATTTTTTATTTTTGTCGAACTATTTTGAACATGGATATTGCGCTACTAAGTGCGTATTTAATGGAAAGGTGGAAATTCAAGGCACTTCAGGGGAATTTGAACAAAAATTGCTTCAACCTACTTTGATCAATCGACTTGCTGTAGTTGCGCCTGCTTCTATTAGTGAGAACAAGAAAGTTCCGACAAAGTTTACGGTAAGTTAGAGGCATATACTTGAATTAATGAATATTTCTATTTAGATTTAAGTCAGGTTATAGGAGTTCTTTTAAATTTATGTAACGTAAAGTTAGGATATTTTGCAGAAAATAAGATGGAAGAAGCACGAGCACTTATTTTTCTTTTATTTACTTGTTATTTAAACTGATTAACCAACTAATCATTTAAAGAATGACCCATACTGACAACAAATCAACGAGTTAACTATAGCTTAGTTTGGTTGCACATTAACAGAAAGCAAATGGCAATGAAGAAAGGTAATATATCTCATGATGGCAAAACTGCGTGAATTTCATAATCTGAAAAATTAGATAACGCTATGTGCATAGAGTCTTGCAATAAAAAAACGAGCATCCGCTTATGAATCCAAACTCGATGAATTTATATTTTAAATGAAATTGCCAAATATTATAGAGATATTATGAAGGCTAAAAACAGTTAAGACTGAGTCAATACTAAATTATAAACCTGTATCTGATGAAAAAAGGACATTTCTCTTTTTAAGAGAAACCAAAACTCTTTATTCGATTAGAATTAGGCACTAAGTTTTAAACTAAAGCCCACTGACAAAATGCATTAATGAAAAGCCATTTTTTTAATTTTAGGTAACACCAGCAAAGGAGTATTAAATCAGGAAAAACATGTATTCAGAACCTTGATGTGAACGTACAAATATTAGCTCCGTTAGGCTTGTATCCTCGAAAAAAGAAAAAAACTGAATTACATGTACTAACCACAATTCGGTTCGCCTTAGAAATTGATAATTTTGATTAAACGAATGATCACGGAAGTACTTGACTCGAATTTTGCTGCTCACTAATTTTATTTACAAATTCAATTAATTTTTTACACTCAGTTAAAAAACATCCCAACTTTGAAGCTTTATTTTAATGCTCCGATGGTAATTTTATCAACAAAGGTGTAGAAGTTCTAGGGTGGCAGATAACGACAACAAACCAAGGGTAGGCTGAAAACTAAAAATATATAATTAAATAAAAATTTACTAAAGTGTCATGATGATTTTAATTTAATAGAGCGTTGAAATTTTTCATAAAGATATCTGGATTTCTTTTAAACATAATTCACACACAAGTGAATATAATATACTATAATCCATTAGATTTAGTATTTTTGGGGTGTAATTTATAGAGTTAATATTGAGTAAAGTTTAAATATTATAAATTTAAGGAACAAACGACCATTTTTGATATTATTGTACTTTCGACAATAATGTAGTATTTAGCAATTATAGCACTAGTTATACTAAATAAATAATTAAAACAAAAAATATTTGAAAATGGTCGTATTCAATTATTACTTAAATTTGCCAATTCTTAATTGAAATAACGTTTTAATAAGCCCAAGGCTGTATTCGTTTAAAGGAACTGGATCAAATAGCTTGCTTATGTGCCCCCTTTCGAAAAAATGCGCCAAACTTTGATATTCAGGGTTTTATTCATTGTTTTATTAGTTATTTTCGGATTTTTCTCAATTAATCTTATTAATTCAAAAAAGGATGTAATTACTATATTTGTGATAACACCAACATATTATCGCATCACCCAAAAACCGGAGTTGGTGCGGTTATGTACAGTATTTTCCCATATTCCTAATTTACATTGGATAGTAATTGAGGATTCTATCAACAAAACAGAGTAAATCTATTTTATTCAAATAGTTTATGTTTTATATCCTTCCATTATATTAGTTTTAAATTTTAGCTTAGTTACCGACTTATTGAAGCAATGCATTGTTACATCAACACATTTGAATATGCCTTCTCCTAATGATAAGAAATATAACATTAAAGGTAGCAACCAGCGAAATGCTGGCTTACAATGGCTAAGGGAAACTTACAAGCCTGGGAAATGCCGTGGTGTAGTTTATTTTGCTGACGATGACAACACATACGATCCACGAATATTTGAGGAAGTAAGTATTCCTATACAAATTCAATTTATGAAACATTTCTTATTGCATTTTTTATTATGAAATTGGAATAATATGATTTCCATTAATTGAATAATTTAATGAATTCAAGGTATATTTTTTGCTGATACATATTTGTTTCATAGGGTATCTCTGAAATAGCATAATTCTTACTTTTCTCTTGATTTATTCATAAAATATAATTATTAATATTTTTATGGACATAGCATTATTTAAAGGCATAAAACGTTTCTGCTAAATTAATTATGACAATTTATTTTGCCATCGGTTCATTTCAATTTGCAATACTTCTATTCCTATTATTTTGACAGAAATTACTTCAATTTGAACTTAAATAACTATTCAAAATTAATACAAATGGAAGTATTTAAGTTTGAATATTACAAATATTAAAAGAGAACGTTAATTTAAAATACATGCCACAAGGTGATGAGACATCTTTTCTTGAAATATTTGTTTTCCAACTCAAATTAGATAACAATTTTACTCATATATTACTCTATTTTGTAAGGTTTGAGCACATAAGTGTTATTAAACAACTTCATATTTCATTTAAAAGAGCTAAAATAAACATGCTCACGGAAAACACATGGATTTATAAAAGTTAAGTGAATTAGTTGTTAAGGAACTTTTATAGTCATCTCATTGATAATTCCGATGTGTAATATTGACTACGCTTTATTGCCATTCCACTTGATCTCAAATTTACTCCACACTCATAAGTGGCTCGCTCATAAGACTGTGAGCACAGTTAAGTAAATTTTATCAGTCTTAAAAGGAATTGTTGGTGAGTTTTATATCCTCCTCGATTACTTAAAATAGTTTATCGATACTTTCTAAAATACTCCAGTCTTATCCTTTTAAGTAGTCTATTTATTGCCTTAATTGGTCTCAGTGATGCCACCAACTTCGACTTCTTCCTATTATATTGTAGCTAAGGGTCATAAATTTGCCAAATTTTCGTTGTTTTCAACTAATTCATAACTAATCCAAATCTTATCCTGATATAGAAGCTAGCATTCCACGGACCCTACTTTTTTTTAAAAGAAATAACCCGTGCGCTTAGCTGCCTACACAAATAGACGTGCTTTAACTTACGGGCAGGTTCGGAAACCATTTCTCTATCATTAATGCTTCTTTTGAACATATTGGTCTAGTTACTCGATATTAGTTGGTCTAAATATCAAAAAAAGTAAGTTCAAGCAGAAGTGTTATAAGGTAAAGCAACATAAGACTGCCTTCGGCGAATACATATCGACAGCACTCGGGTAACGATGGACAGGATAGCTGACGGAAAACTTCACTTTGTCTAATCATTATAATTAAATCGCATTTTCAGATGAGGACACTTCAGTTAGGAGCCACATGGCCGGTGGGAATCGTCGGTGGGAGTAGTTGGGAGGGCTGTATCTGCTCCCCAGATAATCCCAATCGGATAACTGGATTTTGGGCGGGTTACAAACCCTGGCGAAGTTTCCCCATCGACATGGCAGCATTCGCTGTCAATCTCGATCTTATCTTCACGCATCCCAATGCCTCGTTTGACTACGAACACGTAGAACAACAGGAGGGCACAATTCTTTCTCAGCTGGGGTTCAAATCGGCGCATGAGTTGGAACCAAGAGCAAATGGCTGCTCAAAAGTAAGAATTTCATTCAAAATATGCAGCTATTTCAATTGTGCAATTTATTTTCCAAACCACTTTGCCCACTTTTATCTAAAACGCAATATTTTAATTTTTTTAATCAGAAATACAATCTAATTGAGGGAAAAGTAACTTTCTCTGTATAAACTTTGCATGATTTAGGGAGAGAAATTTGAGGTCTTCGGTTTGGAAAGACAAAATTTATATGGAACATGTATGACCTTTGACACCTTTTTTCCGAACAACTTCGCAAAATCGCTGGGCGCAAATTTCAAAAGATGCCGATTTTTAATTTACTTCTTAAATCAAATAGACAATTTGACGAGGACAATTAGCTTCCAGTAAACGGAAGTTCAATTAATTTATAATTTAATTGAAATAGACTTTACTCTTCACAATATGAATATAGTAATCAAACTCACTTAAAGTATTGTGAGAATTTTGATTAAGTACTTAAACTAACTTAATTTGACGTGATTTTAATAACTTTTTTTCTCACAGCAATTTTAGCTAATTTAAGTGTCTATTCGGGCGAAAGAGCATTTTTGGTTCCTTTTCCAAGTTGTGTATTTCGTAAATTTTATGATATTTATCAAAATCATCACATTTAATAAGTGGCATGTCTTTGAAATAAAATATTGGTACCAGAAATCAAATATACAATTTATTTGAAACCCATCCATTTTAAAGTTAATCACCTTTAAAGAGATTTATGAGCTCGAAACTATTTCTGGACGTGAAGATATATCTTTTTATTCACCAAACGTTCCCTAAGGCTGGATTGATTAGTACTGTCAAACGACAATTGATCTGATTTATTTACGATTGGTTAATTCAAACCTGGTCTATTATCCAATATGAGTTTTAAATAGCTGTCTTTGTGACTATTGTTCTCCATTAAAACGTAAAATCAAAGGATAGCGCCTACTTAATGATAATCTTAATTAAAGGTTTTAATTAATGCTAATGAACTGATTTCATTTAGGTTGAATCGCGATTAGTATGCACATTTTAAATAAGTTAAAATTTCTTGAATGCACCCATCAGGTAGTAAAAAGAATTCCCGGGTACCAAGTAGCCTGTATGATAAGATACTTGGTTTCTGTCTCCCTCACCTTAAGTAGCCAGACTTAGCCAGATCTTTTGGTCATTCCGACCACTGAGCGTGTACCTATGAGTACTGAACTCGCAAGTCCTGGCTTCACAGACGAGCACCTTAGCCGCTCTGACATCGGCCAACCTTTCAGGCTAGTCAAGCACGTAAGCTTGTGGGGTATAATCAATTTGCCAGAAAGTGCAATTTAAGGCCTGACCTGTAATTAATCCGACTATTAATTAGAACGACGGTTCCTCACACTTGAAATAAGGAGAAATACGTGGAAGAAATTCGAAAGGTTCCTATCCATTTACTTCCAAGTGGCTATCATTTAAGCGGAGGTTCAATGACTGGTTATTTTACTTTTCATCTCGTACAATGATTTTTTGAAAATTTATCTTTCGTTTTTCATTTCATTGGCGCCAAATATCTAAATTCCGAGTAAAAGGTCCATATCTGCTCCAATGTCATCAATAATTCTTAGTTTATTTCAAGATCAATCGATTCAGCGCCCTTAAATATTCTCATCGGAACACGAATAATGCGTACAATGTGCACAATAGTTCAATCTCTCTCCCCCCC